ATTCTCTCCCCCTCCCTCCCCCCACTCTCCTCCCCTTCTCCCCCACCCCTCCCAGGGTCCCTTCCCTCTCTCCCCCACATTCTCTCCCCCTCCCTCCCCCACTCTCCTCCCCTTCTCCCCACCCCTCCCAGGGTCCCTTCCCTCTCTCCCCCGCACTCTCTCCCCGCACTCTCTCCCCCTCCCTCTCCCCACTCTCCTCCCCTTCCCCCCACCCCCTCCCAGGATCCCTTCCCTCTCTCCCCTGCACTCTCTCCCCCTCCCTCTCCCCTCTCTCCCCACTCCTCCTCCCCTCCCCCTGTTTCCCCTCCCCTTTCTGATTGGCTCTGTCCCCTTCACATTGAGCAGCTGTCCCCACCACTCTGTGGATGCTGCTCTGAGGTCACCAGTGATCTATCTGTTGCCAGTTCTCCGTTCCCGTCTTGATAGACCAATAGCATTTGGCCAAGATTTGTCATTCTCCCCCTTTTAAAACACTTTCTTCCTTGGACCTGGGACATCATTGTGTGTAGAGACCACATATGGTTCATCCATTCTTCAGTTGATGGACACTCGATTTGTTTCTGTCTTTCGGCAGTAGTGATTAATGCCATGAACGTTGGTGTACAGATATCTGTTCAAGTACCTTTCTTCCTACCTCACTGGCTGTTCCTTTGCAATAGCCTTGTTGGTTCATCCATATTTTGGATTTTGCAACCAAAGTTTTTATCTAGAAATCTGTCATAATAGCGCATTATGTTTTATAATCAGTTATAATTCATGATTGGGTGGTTACAGTACTGCTAGTATTTTGTATTGTGGTAGAGTATATGCAATAATTACAATTCTAACCATTTGTTGAGTGTACCATTTAGTGGCATTTAAATACATTCACAATGTTGTGTAACTATCACCACTATCTATACCCAACACTTTCCCTATCCCAGACATCAACTCTGTACCCGGGTGAGAACTCCCCATTGCTCTCTTCCCCAGGCTGTGATAATGTCTATGTTCTCTCCCTATGAATCTGCCTGTTCTAGTTCCTTTATGGAAGTGGGATCATACAGTATTTGTCCTTTCATGTCTGCATAAGGTTTTCAAGGTCTGTTCAATTCATGCTGTCACAGATCTCAGCATTTCAGTCCCTTTTATGACCAAATAATATCCCATTGTGTGTAGAGACCACATATGGTTCATCCATTCTTCTGTTGATGGACACTTGATTTGTTTCTGTCTTTTGGCAGTAGTGATTAATGCCATGAACATTGGTGTACAGTTATCTGTTCAAGTCCCTACTTGCAGTTCTTTCGAGTCTGCAACTAGGAGTGGAATTGCTGGGTCCTATGGTACATCTATGTTTAACTCTTTGAGGCACCACCAGACTTTTCTGCAGTGGCTGCACCATCTTACATTCCCACCAACCTGTGGGTACCAACTTCTCCATATCCAGGCCAACACTCACTTTCCATTAAAAAAGTATATTATTAGAGCCATTCTAGTAGGCATGAAGTAGTATCATTATGGTTTTGATTTGTAGTTCTGTAATAACTAATGTTGAGCATCATTTCATGTGCTTATTTGTCTATCTTCTTTGCAGAAATGTCTATTCAACTTACTTGCCCATTTTTAAATTGGGTTGTTTTGTTGTGGAGTTTTAGTTCTTCGTGTATTCTGGAAATTAGGCCCCTATCAGGTACGCGATTTGCAGATATTCTCTCCACTTGGCAGACTGTCTTTTTGCTTTCTTGAGAGTGTGCCTCAATGCAAATCCAGCCACGAAGATTTACTGCAGTGTTTTCTTGGAAAGTTTTATAGTTTTAGCTCTTAAATTTAGGTCTTTGATTCATTTTGAGTTAATTTTTTACAGGTGTAAGGTAAGCTTTAACTTCATTCTTCTGCATGTGGATATCCAGTTTTCCCAGTGCCATTTGTTGAAAAGACTGTCCCTTACACAGTGAATGTTCTTGGCACCCTTGCCAAAAATAATTCGACTGTCTATGTTAAGTGTTTATTTCCAGGCTGTCTTTCCTATTCTGTTGGTCTGTAAGTCTGTCCTGACGCTCGTACTGTACTGTTTTAATTACTGTAGCTTTGGGGTAAATTTAAAATTCAGGAAGTATGTATGAGTCTCCTAATTTTGTTATTCTTTTTCCAAGATCATTTTTGCTATTTGGGGCCTCTTGCAATTCCATGTGAATTTGGGGACCTGCCTTTTCATTTCTGCAACAAAAGCCATTACAATTTTGAAAGAGATTGCATTGAATTTGTAGATCATTTTGGTTAGTATTTACGTCCTAGCAATGTTGTCTTTCTATCTATGAACATGACATTGGCTTTCCATATATTTGTTTCTTTAATTTCTTCCTCAATATTTTGTAGCTTTTAGCATATGAATCTTTCACTTCCTTGGTTAGACTTATTTCTAGGTATTTAATTCTTTTGGATGCTATTGTAAATGGAATTGCTTTCTTAATTTCCTTTTCGTATTAATTGCTGTTGCATAGGAACACAAATACCGATTTTCACATGTTAATCTTGTACCCTGTAACTTTGTTGAATTTTTGTATTAGCTCTAGTAGCTTTTTGTGTATTCTTTGGAATTTTCTCTATATACGAACATGTTACCTGTGAATAGAGAGAGTTTTACGTCATCCTTTCCAACCTGAAAGTCTTTCATTTATTTATTTTTTGTTGGTTGTCCCTGTTGCTGTCGCTGGAACTTGCGGCAGAGTGTTGAGTGGACATGGCAGCAGTGGGCACCCTTGTCTTCTTCCTGATCTTGGGGAAAATGTTCAGTCTTTTGCCATTGAGTATGATGTTAGCTGTGGGTTTTTCATAAATACTTTGTATCACTTGAGGAATTTTCTCCCATCCTTGTTTTCCAAGAGCTTTTTTACGAAAGGGTATTGAATTTTCAGAAGCCTTTTCTGCATCGATTGAGATGATCGTGTGGGTTTTCTCCCTTCGTCCTGCTACTGCAGTGCACGACATTGACTGATTTTCTTATATTGAACCACTCCCATGTTCCTGGGATAAATCCCACTCGGTCGTGGTGAATAGTCCTTTTAACATACTATTTCCTAACATCTTTTTGAGGTTTTTTGCACATGTAGTCATAAGGGATATTGGTGTGTAGTTTTCTTTCTCGCGACGTCTTCATCTGGCTTTGGTCTCCGAGAAGTGCTGGCCTCCTACCATATGCTAGGAAGCGTTCCCTCCATTCCAGTTTTTAAAAAGAGTTTGAGAAGGAGATCTATCACTCCTGTGACTTCTAAGCATGGACACATTCCCTGGCCCAGTCCTAGTTCCTCCTGCCCTCTGTCTGCACACGTAGTTCCACCTGTCTGGACACACCTGCATGGTAGATGGTTCTAGAACCACATCTCCAACCCAACCGCTACTCCAAGAACCAAACTCATACAGCAGGGAGTCCACTCAGTACGTTCAATAGGCAGCTCAGTCTTCATATGGCATTTCCTCCTGGACATGCTTCTCCAGTCTCTCCCATCTCAGTCAATGGCAACACCTTCCACCTGCTGGTCAGGCCCCAAATCCTTGAATTGCTGTGTTGCTGCTGACTCTTGACTGCAGACAGCAGAATCCGCTGTAGCTAATTTAAGCAGTGAAGGATACGTGTGAAGCCGTTGGGTAGATCATAGCATCCATGGGAGAGTCAGGAAACCAGAACAGCGAGAAACAACCACAACCCTGGAGAAACGCCCGGCCACGCTGTGGGACTGTTAGGGAAACCCCCACTTCCTGTCCTCTGCTGCTCAGCACCAACAATGCCAGGGACAGGACCCAGAAGAACCAAACACCTCAACACCCATCTGCTGTGTCCGGCCCGATTCCTGGGTTCCTTCCCCATCTCACGTAGTGCATCTCCTGGCAAAAATGCGCACATCTGCATACCAGGTGCAAGGGATCCTGGAGTGTGGCGTTGCAGCCTCCAACTTCTGCACACTGGAGGGCATACTGGGGGTGGTGGCAGGGTCACTAATTCAGTGTCTGCCTCTATGCTGTTTGGGTTCTTTCTCTCCACAGCCAGTTTTTCAGCAGTCCTGCCCCCTCTGCCTTTACAGGTCCTGCTTTGACCATTTCCCACGACCTCTGTCATTCCCGCGTAACCCAACCTCATCACTTTCACCAAGGTCAGGCATCCACTTCCTAATCTCCTGCCTGGGCCTGCTGAGCTCTCTGAAATGTAAGTCAGAACAGGTCGCCTCCTTTCCAACCCCATCCCCTCTCAGTGTCCCCACATTTGCTGTGATTGTGAGCTCACCAGATCTGTCCCCCCCACCCCACCCCACAGGGCCTTTGCACAGGTGGCTCCTTTGCCTAGAAGTCCCAGGTAGCTTCCTCTCAGTGTCTGCTCTGCCTGCCCCATCAGAAAGGCCTTCCTTGACTGGATTTGTGTTTTCTGTCCATTGGCTTATTTCCCTCCACTGGAATGTCAGCTCCCCAAAGATGGGGGCTGTGCTGTGACTGACCAGTAGTAGTTGATGAGTAAGTACTTTTTAAATAAACCAAGCTATGTTAGTAGTCCATGTTTTGGAAAATCATCCGTAATACCATGGACCCATGGCAAAGAAGGAGCCAGATCCGTAGAAACTGGAGCCGGAGAAGCTCACAAAGGACTCCTGGGCTGCGAAAGCCCCACACGGTCCTACTTTCTTTCTGCATAGTGGAACATTCCATATGGAACATTCGGATTTGTGCGTCCACGTTATGGAAACCAGGGGCCCGTCCGGGGGCGCGGGCGGCAGCCACAAAATGGCAGGTCCCGAGCTCCGGGCTCCGAGAGAACAAAAGCAGAAGCCGCGGCCGCCCGCGCTCGGGGAGGAGCCGCCCAGGTGGGCGCGTCCGGGGCCAGGCGGGAGCCGCACAGCCGGGTCCCGGGAGACGCCCCGCCCAGGCCGGACCCTCGGAGCCTCCTCGGGGAGACCCCGGCCCCGCCTCTTTCTGCCCCGGATCGGGCGGGGTCCCGGGAACACGCGCGGCGAAGGCGGCGCCGGCCCAGCGCGCGGCGGCCTCGGAGGAGTCAGTTCGGGGGACTCGGGGCCGGGATGGGTCTCAGCGCAGCCGACGGCGGGGGCGGCCCGGGCGCCGGGGTAAGAGGGGGCGCCGGGGTAAGAGGGGGCGCCGGGGTATGAGGGGGCGCCGGGATGAGAGGGGGCGCCGGGGTGAGAGGGGGCCCCGGGGTATGAGGGGGCGCCGGGGTGAGAGGGGGCCCCGGGGTATGAGGGGGCCCCGGGGTGAGAGGGGGCCCCGGGGTGAGAGGGGGCGCCGGGGTGGGAGGGGGCGCCGGGGTGAGAGGGGGCGCCGGGGTATGAGGGGGCGCCGGGGTGAGAGGGGGCCCCGGGGTATATGAGGGGGCGCCGGGGTATGAGGGGGCCCCGGGGTATGAGGGGCCCCGGGGTGAGAGGGGGCCCCGGGGTGAGAGGGGGCCCCGGGGTATGAGGGGGCGCCGGGGTATGAGGGGGCGCCGGGGTATGGGAGGGGGCGGCGGGGTGTGGGGGGGCGCTGGGGTGAGGGGGGGCCCGGGGTGAGAGGGGGCCCCGGGGTGAGAGGGGGCGCCGGGGTGAGAGGGGGCGCCGGGGTGAGAGGGGGCCCGGGGTGAGAGGGGGCCCGGGGTGAGAGGGGGCGCCGGGGTGGAGGGGGCCGGGGGTGAGGGGGCCGGGGTGAGAGGGGGCCCCGGGGTATATGAGGGGGCGCCGGGGTATGAGGGGGCCCCGGGGTATGAGGGGGCCCCGGGGTGAGAGGGGGCCCCGGGGTGAGAGGGGGCGCCGGGGTATGAGGGGGCGCCGGGGTGAGAGGGGGCGCCGGGGTGAGAGGGGGCGCCGGGGTGAGAGGGGGCGCCGGGGTGAGCGGGGGCGCCGGGGTGAGAGGGGGCCCCGGGGTATGAGGGGGCGCCGGGGTGAGAGGGGGCCCCGGGGTATGAGGGGGCGCCGGGGTATGAGGGGGCGCCGGGGTATGAGGGGGCGCCGGGGTGGGAGGGGGCGCCGGGGTGGGAGGGGGCGCCGGGGTGAGAGGGGGCGCCGGGGTATGAGGGGGCGCCGGGGTGGGAGGGGGCGCCGGGGTGGGAGGGGGCGCCGGGGTGGGAGGGGGCGCCGGGGTGGGAGGGGGCGCCGGGGTGAGAGGGGGCGCTGGCGGGGGCGGGCGGGGATGGGGGTGAGGGCGGGCGGGGCCGGCGTGGGGCGCGAACGTCCAGCCTGGGGTCCTGCGGCGGCTGCTGCCGGAGCGGGAGGGAACTGCTTCAGGTGCCCTTTTCCTCGTAGCCTCAGGAATACTTGGAGGAGAAACAGATTTTCAGGGCAGATTCGCCCTCTGGGTGCCCGAAGGGGAGCCGGGGGAGGGGAGTCTGTGAAATCTCATCGCCAAAACTGAGAGTTGCGAAGTTACTCTTCAGTTCAGACCGGTGGGACAGAGCAGTGACCTGTGGTGGCCGGAACAAAGAGAATTTTTACTTAAAAATACCAAGATTGACTTTTGTGTTGGAATGCCAGTTGATTTAAGTAAGAAACATTTCCTAGTGAAACAAGACAATTATTTCAGGTTTGGGGAAAGAGCGATAAAGCTGTTTTCAGGTTTTCGTGTGAGTTGCAAAAAGTACGTTGGGTTTGCCTTTCCCTGTTTCGTGTGAAACTAAAGAGTGGTTGAGGTGTGGTAATTACACTCTACTTCTGTTACTCAACAGCACTTTTGCCTAAAAAGTTTAGTTGGTATGTCTAGATGTCTAATTAAGAATTAAAACCTATAATTAAAAAATTAAGTTAAATGTCATTGAAACGGCGCATAATGGATACTTTTGGCTGAGCCTTAGGCAGCGGGTGGGTCCTGAATCAGGATTCCTGGGAAGGTAGGTTTCTCAGCCTTCCGAAGAGATTTACTGTAAATCTTCATGTAATGTGGACAAAGGTGAGTTTTAGCTTTCAATTTCCCTGAGCCTGCCTCGAATTCACAAAATTCCAGGCTCTGTGGGTCAGGGGGAACTTCAGAGATCTTTTTTAGGAGGCCGACGTTTCCAAGATTCAGTGAGATATTCAGCATTTCCATTCCCTATGGGATCACAACCCACTGGGCAGCAGTGCTTGGTGACCCCCACCGAGAAGTGGGTTCAGACTTCTGTTTCTGAGGAGACACCAGGTTTTTATTTCACTGTGTGGCATCTGGTGTGCAAATGCAGGTGTGGCCTGGGCTGGGAGCACACAGGTTCTGACCTCGCAGCCAGCCAGGAGGCCAGGGCGTCAGGTCCCCTGTGTTAGCCAGAGGCCCCTCATCTTTTAGCCTGGTAGAGGGGCGCTGCTGGCCTTTCTGGTGGGTGGGTCTAGTCTGAAATCGCCTTTGTGGGCTCTGTGGCACTGGCTAGCTCTCAGGCCGGCCGGTGGTCTCACAGAAATTCATTACTTGTAAAGTATCCAAAAAATGCTGAGCTGAGGAAGTAATTTGCCCCAAGGCTCTCTGAGACCTGTGTTCACAGGTTGTATCATCCAGCCAAACACAGGAGGCCCCAGATCCCCAGATCTCAGAGATTTTTGTGAGAAATCATTTGAGTCCAGCTCAGACACCTCTGCCTCCCTCCTTACAAACAGAATGAGTTTGTTCTCTCTTTGCGTTTGAACAAAAGTCAGGCCATCTAGAGCCTCCTAACCCTCACCCCAGACCTCCAAGGTGGGGCTACTCATTCTGTAGACGGTGGAAATTGAGGCTTCAACACCTGCCTGGCGTCTCCCTGCCGAGAAGCAGCAAAGCTAGGTTTGAGCCAAACTCAAGGCCCTGGTTCTCCTTCCCCCCTCAAGGTGCCTGAAATGTTGGTGCCTCTCCTGGCTGACACAGCATCAGTGCTTCTGTGCCCTGGGGCAGCAGTTCTGTTCCCCACCTGGGTGCCCCCACACCTGGCACAGCCGCTGCTCCCTATGGACAGGCCAGTGCTGTTGGGTCCAGCCAAGACCGCAGGTGCCACGTGTGTGGTGAGGGGCTCCCTTCTTCCAGCATGCTGTTGAAGACGGAGCCTCAGACTTTGTCTGACCTGAGAACCCAACATGCTTCTGGGCAGGGGGAGAGTGAAGAGGAGTAGGCTGGGATGAGTGGGTGGCAGGTGGAGGGGGTTGAGAGGTGGCAGGTTCTGTCCCGAAAGTGTTGGTCCTGGGCCTGAGAGTCTGGACTCTGGTGAGCAGAAAGCACCCACCGTCTCCCTTTACCATATGGGGGGCTCTGGGAGTAGGTGTATGTGAAGTGGGTAACAGGCTTCAGACCCCGACCTTGTGTCCAAAGAACAGGCTTGGGATCTTGGAAACCAGCATATCCACCCTCCATGAGCTGTTGTCCTTTGGGCCAGTAGCTCAGCCTCTCTGAGCTTCAGTCTGTTCATTGTTTGCAGGAATCATCTGTGCCCCACCTACCTCTCCGAGTACCCTAGAGTCAAACTTGAAAAGAGATGTACACAAGCTGTTTACAAGGAAACAGTTGCACTCTTCACTTACTTTACCATCCTTTAACAGAGTGTTCCTGAATTGAAAGCTGCCTGTGTCGTGATATCTGGGACACTTTTCTGGGCCGCAGTTCACACCTGGGCCCAGGTTCTCAAAGACAAAGCTTTTGAATTATTTTAGATTGATCTTACAAAATTTTCCCTGATAGAAAATCACACTGTGCGAAAGAGATACTTCGTGGTGAATTTCTTTGACATGTTAAAACTGCTTAGGTTTCTGAGGCTGACACAGCCTCAGAAACGTGCGTTCTGCACTGGAGTCGCTGCAGTCAGCCAGGTAACAAGAATACGCCTCCCCTGGAGAAGCTAAGCCTGCCCACATCCACCCTGTGCCCCTCAACTCTGGTACGCCTCACCTTGAGAGGGCTTTCCGGGCACCCTGCCTGCATCGTCAGCCCAAAGCCTCTCTGGCCCTGAGGAGGGTCTGCGTACGATGGTCGGAGCCGACGTCACTGTGCCCCGTCTCGTGCCAGACCCCGTGTGCCCAGGGAGCATTGCCGGTTGCTTCATTCCCCAGCTTCTGTAGTGCTCAGCAATCTGTCCATCCTCTCTGGTAAAGCCCGGATTCCCTCCCTTCTCAGCCTTATTCTAAGACAAATTTACCTTTGGTTGCTATGTAGATGGGCGGAGCCTGCCCTGTGGGACTCTCCTTGCAGGCTTCCCACCTGAACATCATTCCTGAGATGGTCAAAAATAGAAATGACCCTCCCCTTTGGTGTCTGGTGGAGGGAAAGACCCACTTTTCCAGTGTCTAGTGGAGGGGACCACCCACCCCTTTGGTGTCGACTGGAGGGGGATGACCTACCTCTCTAGTGGCCATTGGAGGAGACCACCCACCTCTTCAGTGTCTGCTGGTGGTGATGCCCTCACTCCCTCAGGGTCTAGTAAAGGAGGTACAGTTTGGTGGAAACTTTTGCTGAAGTTCTCACTTGCCTTTAGGCAGTGGCATATTTCCGTGCATTCAGTGGGACATCGGGGATTGGAATGAGTTTCTGAAAGCTCGTGGTCCCTAACTCTTGGTATAATAGAATGAGACATAGGACGTTTGGTGTGGGTGGTGGTGTTATAGTGCTTTGGGATTCAGGCTGTGCACACACTGGCCCAGGTCAACTTTTGGTTTCCCCAGTGAGAAGGAGGGGAAGGCCCTGGTCCTCACCTTAATCACCTTTAGTGTTGAGTGGTAATAGCTTTGCAGTGTGCTTAGAGCAGTGTGTGGAGCACAGGAACTGCTCAATAAATGTTAGCTATCATTCTATGATTCTGACATGAGAGAGAGGGAGATTTTTCTAGAAATAAGGAAAAAAGAATGAGTTCCAATTTTTTGTCAAAGGTCTTAGGGAAAAATATTCAAAGAAATTATTTTCATGTTGTTTATAGTCAAAGATATCACCAATAAATAGGAATTACAACTATAATATGTAGTATTTTAGCAAAACAAGCACGTAATATTTTAAAGAAGTATTTTGTAGAAGTGCCCAAATTATTAGGCGATGAACCCCACTGAGTTCCAGGGTTCCTGAGTTTTCTTTATGGATTGTTGAGAAAGATAAAAGAAGACCACCTTGGAGCCTGTAGGACCACATTGGACACAGGAATGAGTATTCGTGTGTCTGGAGGCTG